ATACGTTTCAATGCACATATAGAGAGGGGACACGTGTTCGATGGGGGCCGTAGCGAAGTGAACACACAGACAGCGTTGGAGATCTAACGATATACGTGCACGACACGCTCCAGCAGAGGACGGGACAGCCGGGCAGAGAGGTGGTGGGGAAGGGTGTCCCCACGTGCTCCATACCTCTCTCCCCGGGCCCACGGTGGGGCGCACCCCGGCCAGACCCCGGTCCGTGAGCTCTCCTCGCGGCCCGGCCTCCGGAACAGGAGGCGCGCGTGCCTCTCGCAGCCCCGACGTGCCCGGAGCGACCTGCCTTTAACTCAAGGGCGCCTCCCTCGGCCTACTCAGGGACAGAGGCGCTCACTACAAAGGGCCTTGGCTGTGCCGCCCTCCTGCCCGCTTCCAGCCCGGGCACCCACGTGGACCGGCTCGCCCAGGGGCCAGGCTGCCCGGCGGCTGGGCGAGGATTTCGCAATGAAAGACAGGCGACTTGATCAAAACGCTGTCTGGCCTCTCCTCCTCGCGGGGTCTCTCCACCGCATCCAGGATCCTGTTGGTAAACAGCCTCCCGCCCTGCTTCCCGTTAATCAGCGAGCTCTCCTGAGTCACATCGCAGCATTTGTCACCTTCCTCTGCATTCACAATATTGAGGCACTCAAACAGGCCTGATCTTGCCTCATGAAGACTCCTTTGTTCTGCCTGCTAAAACGTCTTGTAATTGTGCTTGGGATGTCCAGATGGCTGGCTGATACTCCAGCTGATAGGATTATACCTTTTACCTCTCCTAGAGCCATCTGTTCCCCTCACCCGCTCAAGCCCTGCAGCCTGGATTCAGTGTCCTTATTGCATAAACCTAACCGCATTACGGCGCTTGGCATGCAAATCGCTCCGCGCTGCAGGCCGGGTGCTGGGCAGGGCTCACGCAAGGTTTAAACGGGGCTGCGGTCGTTGACGAGGGGACAAGTGACAAGGAAAAAAACACGAAAGCCTGGGTTCTGCCGGGCCGCGCTGGGAGGTGGACCGCTGGTTGTGCCCTCGCCCGTGTTCGGCACTGTAAACAGTCGGCCCCGCTTTCTGTGCGCTCCAAGGACGCGATGGCAGCCGTCCACGGCAACAGCAGGGGACTCGCTGACTTGGAGACCATCGGCGAGTGTGTACACACTGCTGGTGAATATTGGATGATTGGATAATGAGGTGTTAGCCAGGAGAGGCTGCACAGAAGCAGAGATCTGTGGTTTATGGAGGCGCTTTTTCCTTGAAGAATGTGGGACTGACTCGAAGCCAAGAGCCGCCCGCGCCATTTCCTAACCAGACAGGAGGCGGGAAACGGGCTCCGGGAGACACGCCCACCCCTAAAAATGGACTTCCCGAGGGTCGGCTCTCCCAGGCCGTGACGGAAGCACAGATGTGTCTCCTTGCTGGACAGAGCCCAGGGCACGCTGCAGCGCACTCGAGAGCCGGGCCTTCCTGACCAAACGAAACCCTACCACTGACGACAAATGCCTTTCTCACGAAGACCTTCGCAGGCTAGTTTTGAGAGCCACCTCTTTGTGCTTTAAAATGAGGAGCCACTTTCTGGGGTGGGACAAGGTACTCTGATCTCTTTGCAAGAAAGTGACCCGGTTCCAATGTTGATTTAAAAAAAAAAAACAACTGAGAAACAAACAGGAAAAAAAAAACACTGATCAAGATTGCCTCTGCAAACAGCTTTTGATTGGTTGGGTTTTATCTCCAAGGCACCCACTAGTGGCCTTCGTTTCTCTGAACGTTACACTTTCCGCTTACAGTCAAACGCCTTTTCAGGCTACGTACAAAAATAAATACTCATGCTCCGGCCGTGTCATCATCGCTCGTTAGAGGAGGCCGACTCTGCACCCGGCCTGCAGTCTCACACCAGGCCTCCTTGAACCCGCTGCGTTGCGAGCTCCAGCTCCCTGGGGAAGCGAGGGCTGAGGACGGGGACTCAACCTTCTTAATTGTGAGCCTCATTAGCGATGGTTGCTAAGCAAAACACACACCTACCTTCAGTGCATAGGAAGCAGATAAACAGTACGTCACGGATTCTAACGACCCTGGGGCCCAGGGCGACCTTTAATTATTATACTTTTGTTCTCGTGTACCTCAGTCATTAATGCAGAAAAACAAGTTCGTTTATTTTGGGGGACCGCAGCAGATCCACGAGTTTTCTTCCAGGTTTTATGTCTGCGTCAAGTGCGGCCCCAGAATCCGGGGCCTCAGGATGGAGGGTTTGTCCTGATACCGCTTAGTCTGATGGGCTCTTCGCTCTAAAGGAGTTAATCCTGCTGTTTTGTTTATAATTCGCTTTTTCAAAAAAAAACACATTACTTTCTCAGCAGTTCCCATTGGTCAGACTCCCGCGGTTATGACGACTCGCCTGACCGTGGGGACGACTCTGACTAAGGGGAGTGGTGGGTCACGCAGGCTGCACGCGGCAGGGCCCGGGCGTACCCGGCGTGTCTGGCCGGGACTTCGAGAGCACCTGCCCCGC